GGGTTTTCTGCAAATAAACCCTCCAAGTGGTTAGAATTTTGCAATTCTACCTTCGAAGTCAACTAAATGCAAGTCAATCCACGAAATGATAGTCACTCGCAATATAACCCTCGAGTTAACAGACGTTATATTGCTTACTGAATTCAAAACGAACCGTTTTGGAAAATAATCACTTCACAAATTTCATGTTGTTTTATTATTATTTTATTTAAATTTAACATATTAAATTAAAGAACAAAAAGTTTCTTCGTCTTCTTCCTCAAAACCTGTAGACGAGAGACATAAACATCATAAACGATAATCCATTATCTCATTTTGGAAAATAATCACTTCACAAACTTCATGTTGTTTTATTATTTTTTTATTTAAATTTAAAATATTAAATAAAAGAACAAAAAGTTTATTCGTCTTCTTCTTCAAAACCTGTAGACGAGAGACATAAACATCATCAACGATAATCCATTATTGATAATTCAAATCAAATAAAGCTAGCTCATTTCTTTCTTTAAATCATTTCTTCAAATCGAGTTAGTGATGAACACTGTAAAGAAGAAACTAAACATTCGAAAAACAGCTAAAGATTCTAGGACGAATTTATCTCAATTTCAAGAAACAAAACATGAAATTGAGAGAATTAGCGACATTGATGAGAAATCTATCTCGATTTCAGACTAAAACTCAGACCCATATGCCGATTCATCTAATTCATATCAGGTTTGACATTCACGATGGAAATTTTCGGATTTGTAACCAAGTCTCGTAAACATTATTTGGAAGAAACTCAATCACGGAATCTGGAGTTTGCAATGAAACAGAAAAGAAAGGATAGACCTTTACGAAACAAATCCAACTCAACCATGAGTGAAAGAAATTACAACAAGAAATCGAAAATTCAAATCTCAGATCCATAAACCCTTTTTTAAGTTTCCCCAAATTGATTTCGATCTAATGATTACAGCACTGCGTGTAGTTTTTTTGGTAAAAACGACATAAAAGTAAAACTGCTTGTTGTTTTTCATACAATTAAAACGTAGCGTTTTGTATTCTGTGATTTGTGAACGGCGTTACTTTTTTGCCACGTCATCCATACACACAAGGGTTATATTGCGGGTTGACTATCATTTTGTGGATTGACCTGCATATAAGCCACTTGGAGGGTTTATTTGCAGAAAACCCAAAAAACAATGAACGTTCAAAACTTGAAATAAGTTTAACTTTGAATCGCAAAAAAAAAGGAGAGTTTTATTGACCTTTTTAAAAAAAAAATACTTAGCACGGTGGAACATGATGGGCAGCCAAATACGAATCAAAGTATTACTCTCTCACGTACGAATGATTGTATAACCATAAAACCGAACTTTTCAAAAAACGCGGTTTCTCGCCCGACAACAAATTACCTGAATTAATAATTAAATGAATTGTGTATGTATACTTACTTTGACTCGCTCCAATGAGAATCATCCACGTGTCATAATTTGGGCTGGATCTTCATCACCGTCCCACTAGCCCTTTATTTTTCTTGCCTTAGAAGATTTCACTAATTACTTCTTCTTCTTCTTTAGTCTATTTTGAGATTTGACAACTTCTCTTTATTTAGTTCTTAGCAAAATCTCTTAATTTAGTTCTTAGCAAAATAAAATCATTTTGTACTACTAGTTCGTTGGATCCATTTTACAATCCTATAACAAATTCTATCAATTGTGTACCTTATGTCCATAATTAAGTCGTACTTAATAGTAGTTTTCATATTCTTGATTTATCTCTAACCTTATTATTATGGTATGGTTCCCACTCAAGTTCTATGTTCCAATTAGGCTAAAGCCTAATTCCATTGTTTTGACCAACTTTCATAATCTTAATTAATTGTAATCAATAGCGCCATTAAAAATTGCGTTGAAAATATATAAACTCCAAAAAAATTCTGACAAAGAGGAGAGAGAAGAAGACGACATATCTGCACCATCTG